AATAAATCAAACTAAATGACTTTGTAAAACCTACTGCTTTCATATCGCTAAAAAAGCTGCTGTTTTCGTGTCGCTGCGAAAAACTAACCGAATGTCCATCGAAATACAAATCACACACACAAAAAAAAATATATATATATTTTTTTTTTAATTTTTCATTCGCTGGAATTTATCGTAGGGAAATCGCAAGTACTTTTTTTAAACAAAACCATGTATGCGATTTATGCGCAATAAGTACACCCGTTCTTATTTTTAAATAACGTGGAACAATTGTCGCGTGTTTAAATTTTCTTCTGATTTTCAGTTAATATTTTTTTTTTTATTTTTTTTTATTTTTTTTTTTGCGCACATGTGTGAAAAACAAATCGAAATTCGCACGAAACTTGGAACATGCGAAAATCGTTGAATACTGTATTTAACAACCGAACGTATTTATTGTACCCAAATTACAAGTCTGGTATTGTCAGAAGTATATTCGCAATTTCTGTGTCGCAAATGTCCACAATTATTTATTTATTATTATTTTTTAAAGAAAATGTGCGGAACTATTTTTTTTAGTTCCGATTTTTATACTACAAAAAAATGTGCCAAAATATAAACCGCAAATAATACGAAATCGGAACTTGAAAAAAAAAAAATAGTTCGAGGTTGTTTTGTGGAATTTTTGGTTTGTCCAAACAAATCCCAGCTATTGTGTTTCACATATGTATGTTATTTAGTTCTAACTTTGCACTACCTCAACATTCCTAGCACTCTTCACGTTGCAAAAATTAACATATCATTTAATTACTCAAAGGGTACCGAGTAATGGATAAAAATATCTTAATCGGTTCACGATCCCCTAGAAACTGTAACCATGCAGCACGCAGTGCCCAACTTCGCAGAATGCCCGCTCTGCGAATGTCGCTTCCCTGCAGTGACGTTTTGTCATATGAGAAGCGCACTCGACGGAGCGAATTGAAAAGTTTCAGTACCAGCGTAAAGGCTGGTTCACACACTTGCGTGAGTGCGGACCGAGTGCGACTGCAACGGCTTGCGACGTTAATCTTTTTACGGTTTGCTATGGCAAAGGGGTTTTAAGTCGCTTACAACCGCAATTGCTGCTGCGCGGCACGATTGTAAGAGGCTTAAAAACCGGTTCTGTCGGTCTAGTAGTTGGTTGCAACAGCGCGAAGGCTCGTTCACACAGTTGCGTCGACTGCGTTGCGCTGCGTTGCGTCGTGCAGCATAGCGCCTCCCCACTGGCTCGTCGTAAGGGTCGCCATAGGAACAGGTCGACGCAAGTAGTCTTAACAATATACGCAAGTGGTTGCAGTCGCACCCCAATGCAACTGTGTGAACGAGCCTTGAAGGCTGGCTCACACACTTGCGTGAGTGCGGACCGAGTGCGACTGCAACGGCTTGCGACGTTGATCCTTTTACGGGTTGCTAAGGCAACGGGGTTTTAAGCCGCTTACAACCGCCATTGCTGCTGCGCGGCGTGATTCTAAGAGGCTTAAAAACCGGTTCTCTCGGAATCGGTCGTAGTTGGTTGCAAGTGGGTGAACCGACCTTTCTGTCTACACCACCCCCTGAAAGACGAGTCCTTGCACATAATGTCATCCTTACAAACCGTCCCAAGTGACAAACACGCTCAAGCATAACCACAGTACACGGCCACACCACAGAAGCATGCATCTTGGCGTCGCCGATAGTTAGCATTGCGTTCGCCGCGCGTCTTACAAAGTCGGTGTCTGCATGTCATTCACAGGGTTAAAGCGTCTGGGACGTCTTTCGGTAGACCCGCCAACAGCACGAGCTTCCAACCTTCAACAACACTCCAGCGTCTCGTGAGCTCCAAGCGTGCACGTGCGTTCAAAACACGGCGGAGGAACCCGAGTTCCTGCTCAAAGGGTATTCACACGAGGGAGAAATCCCGTGGATTTCTCTTCGACGTGCGCGCATCACGAGACGAAAACGCGAGGCTTTTGCACATTGCAAAACCTGACGTTTTCGTCGCGGGATGCGCGTGCCGTGGAGAAATCTCCGGGATTTCTCCCTTGTGTTAATACGCCTTCAAGGACGGACATCTAAGGAAGACACGCTCTGCCGGTGACCATAGTGATGAAATTACAGGACGGAGGGCGCAGATCGAGTGTAGCGGCCGGCCCGTAGTATAAAAAAAATGTTGATACTTTTCCCCAAGAAATGTTTCCAGGAATTAAACTACTGCGCTAGGCTTTGACCATTCCCACAACATCGTTTGATACCTAGATGCGTCGAGAAATATTATTCAGTTCAGTCGTTCTCTCGCAAACACGTTAATTCACGCAGAAAGCATTGCTACCTCGGGAAACAATTCCCTCTACATTTGTTGGCAGTCAGAAACCACGTTTATGGGAAGACCATTTTATTATGGCAACTCCAGTACAAAAAAAAAAAAAAAAATCGTTATTGTCGTTTTATTAGAAAAAAAAAAAACTACCGACGCGAGTTTCGTCACCAAGCGCGATAGAATAGTGAAAATTTGGTTACAAAATCGTCCTTGCAAGCTTTGAATTCCAGTAATCATAACAACAATGCTCGATTCGCAAAAATAATGTTGCCCCGGATGGCGAGCGCCGGTCCGCGATCGACGGAACAATCAAGCGCCTTCCTTCCGTCACCTGACCCCGCGGTGTGCGCGTGGGTACGGGCTGAAGCGTGGTCACGTGGCGAAAGATAGACGTATCATTGGTCCCACTACCGCGTAGCCTCCACCGCACTGTCAACGTAAGGCTGAACGACGTATAGCCGGGTACCCAGGGCTGTATGAAAGAACACAACATAACGAAAACTACAAACTTCAAAGAGCGTACCAAACACCCGGAAAATTTTGAAACACACTAATGCTTGCATCGCGAAAACGCAAGACGTTGGGCTGCCGATTTTGTTCGGTCTTTAGGGAGGGGAGAGCGAATGAACAGCCAAAAGGGCACCAAGGTATAGTGGAAGTCCCGAAGTGCAGCGGTGATCACAGAAGGAGAGTGACGGACAGTCCGGGTATGTTGCAGGTCAGGCTGGCCGGATTGCTTCTCGATACTGATGCGGGGATGAAAGGGAAGGCTTTTTCAGGACCAGTTTACCAGCATGTACAGGGTAACCTGCCTTAAAACGTAAACGCGGGTTCAAAGCAGGGAGTCGAATTGTTCATTATTCCGGTTCGGTTCGGGTTCAGTAGCATTGAGTTTTGTTCCGGTTTGGTTCTGGTTCAGTGATGTGTTTGAAATAACGGTTCGGTTACCAGTTCCATCAAGCGCAAGCCACTTTAAACCAGTTCCAAAAGATAGCCCAAAACTCTCAGTCATTAAAAAGAAGAAAAAAAGTTACTTAGTGTCATCCGCATTAAGAAAAAGAGGAAAAAGAAAGAAAAGAGGTCATCAGAAGCCGTGCTGCGGAAATGAGGACAGCAAAACAAATATGGGCTTAATTTCGTTTTGTGATCTTGAATTTCGAATGCAAACACCGTTCAATGAAAATTACGTGGTTATACAGGCGCTTGGAAACAGTACCAAAGTACAGTACTCACATCTGAAGTCAATCAGCCAGCAAGCAACAGTGACAGCGTGACGGCAGCGCACAGTGTACTAGCAAACTACCCAGAAAAAAAAAACCAATTAGTCCTTAGTCGCTTAGGCAGCAGGAGTTTAGTCTGCAAGAATATGCTGCTATTGACGATTGGAACTCATTACCTGACCTCATTGTAAACATGACTGACACTAACAAGTTGGCTGCAGCCGTTAACCTCTTTCTTTCTGAAATACAAGTATAGGTTACAGCGTGTTTTTATTAACTATTTTTGTTGATGTTTTTATTGTGTTCACTCCCTTGTATAATGCCCCCTGGGGCCCTCAGGGAAAATAAATGATGATGATGATGATGATTGTTACCCTCTGAAGATGAGAAATTTATCCAGTGCAGCACGACTGCTAGCTTGGAGTCTTTACCGGATATCACGCAGTACTGATACACGACCGCACGCCGGTACGATGCTCATCCAGATCGAAACGGCAATCTGCCCACATCGCACGCCCGAACGACTTCCTCGCACGACTGAGTTGAAGAGGAGAAAGACAGCGAAGGCCCATCGAAATACGATTAAAACCAAAAGAACAAAAAAATACAGCGGGCGACTTGCTATTTCTAGAAAACACACGCACGTACGCGCACGCACACACACACACGCACACAAAATTGTTTATTGAAGACCATTCCTCAATACATTCGCTTTTTTCCTACGGAAAGCTTAAACCGAGAACACTTGCCAGCACGGCAGAGACAACACCACCTGGACAGAAGGCCTCCACACGCGTCATCATAGTCAGATCGATCGAGGCGAGAGATTGGGCACGAGTGCTGCGTCAGTGTTCGGCTGCGGCTCGTGGCCAATCAGCGCGTCGAAGGTCGAGCTCGGGTCCAATAGCCGACCGAGCGCGATCCGACTGTGATGACGCTTCATAGAGGAAGAAGAAACCATGCGGAAGCCTTCTGTCTAGGTGGTGTTGGCAGAGACCCAAAAATATGCAGCAAGCACGTTCAAAGACAAAAATGGGGCGAATAAGAAAGAGAAACACACCGAGGGGAAATGGCAAGCTATCACGATACAACATTATACATTTTTTTAAAGAAAAGTATAACACTTAACACGTGAAAATAACAGCAAGAAACGAACACTGACAGAATGCAACTACCCCAGTGCTACCACCTATTGTCCCAGTGTAACTCACAAAGGTCACAATTTTTCGTCACAGTACAACATTATACAAGTTTTTCAAAAAAGAAAGAAAGGTAACGCTAAAGTTTTTAAGAGAACACCAAAAGGAATAAACACAACAGCAGCTCAACTGCTCACAGCGGTACGTCAGATGCTACGAAGTTAGCAGTACGCAACACATGAAACTAGGGGGTGCGCCGCCATGCTCGCTGCGTCCCCCGCATAAAATGATAGTGGCAGCGTAGTGTACTTCTTGCCACAAGCAGGCCTAAAATGACGCATCTCGACGCGAAAGGCCCAGCGAGACCAAAAGATCAGCTGATTTTGGCCACACGATACCCCTTTCGGTAGCTGTTAGGGCATAGGCGCCAACTCTCCGTACCGAGAAATCTCTTTTGATCGCCTCAATGAATTCGGGTCTCGAGTACTTCCGAACCTTTTCGGCATATAGTGAGTTCAGGGACTTGTATTCGCCAATCACTTGAGCGTCCACAATTATTGCTTGCTCCTCCTGAACTAAAACCAGGTCTGGCTTTAGAGTCTCATTGCCAAACCTGACCCTTGGTTCTTCGGTCATCTGAAAGGACTCTGAATGTAACTTTGACATAAGCCAGGAGACCATGCAGTTGTGTCTTTTGAGGCGTGCTGAGTAGGTGCTGGGACATATCTGGACCAGTGTGAGTGTGGGTTTCCGGAGCCGCACACCCAGCTCGACACCTACGGTCTTTGTTTTGCCCCCGGGCACATCTAGATCCTGAGTTTGGTGAGGTCCACATGCTCCCTTCCAGACAAGAATTTCAGGGGGTCTCTGACCCACAGTGCTTTTGCCGCAGTCCTTGCTTCACGCAAACCATGACCATGCACCATGCCCACGAGAGCACTCCTCCAGAAGTCTTTCTCCTGGACTCTCCTTCTGATAAGCATTTCCACAAACTTGGTGTTTCTCTCAGCCTTCTCCAATATTTTCCTCCAAGTCTCTAACTCCACCATGTGCTCTAGCATAAAGTCACTTTTCTCCTCCAAATTCAGCAGTCGACGATAGCGGATACGGGGGATCATCGTTGTCATACAGTGAACCCCGAGCCCACCATCATCGACCGCCGAGTAAAACAATGCTAGGGGCTATCATTGGGGAGGTGGAGGAAGTCCCTAACTGCTGCAAGAATTTTCCTATCCATCTTGAGGAGGAAAACCCTTGACCGTGAACAGACTACAAGTTGATATATAGGGCAGCTTCTGAAGAAAGTGTCATATTCACCATTTAATTAAAAACTGTCCGAATAATTATTTACTGTTGCAATGCAACCTAGTCGAGTATAAGGTTTATGAAAATAAGTAGAAAAAGTTTCTTAGTCAAATTTTAATTTAAAGTTGATTAAAAAAAATCAAGAAATCTTAAAAATTTACTTCGGTTCGGAGTGCCTGTCTGGACCCAAAATGGCGGCGTAAGGTGTTTTCCTTTCAAGATAGAGGCTTTGCAGAATGTCGGGCAACACTGTACTTCCCATGGTGGCAAGACTGAGCACATCCCACGTGGACGCCATTAGAAAGGAAGCTCTCGTCTGCTTTGCGAGCTGCTCATGCAGTTTCTATACGATGGTTTCGACACTGAATCAATGTGCCTACCCACTGCTGCGTTCCGCTCTGTAAGCGGCCCCGATACACGAACGAGTCCGGACCAGGGTGGTCCGGACGAAAGGTACAGTGCGCCTCAAACTTAATGCCGCCACGGCATTTGTCATTTCTAACAGTCCCTGCGGCAGCCGAATGAACTATCTGAAGATTGTTTGGGTTCCCGATTTCTATCCCATCCTCAGAAGGCATCCCAAACGTTTTGGTGACAAATTTATTACTAAGTAGCCGAGCCGAGCTTAATGTTTCGGAACACAGTGGCGGCGTTAAGTTTGAAGTGCACTGCGCGTACGCGTCACGTTGTTCGCGTCTTTAGTCGTGCGATTTATTTGGACAATCTTTTAAGCTGCGTCGCTCGGTCGCTTTCTTGGTACTTCAATTTCTTTCCTTTTTGTTCTGTAAAGAACGTACTCTCGCTACAAGACAGGCCTGTTCAGCTCGCCGATCACGCAGCTAGTGCTTTTGCCGGAGTTTGTCGATGTGAACAGAAATTTTCGCGTGTCGCTGTGTTGCTTTTGTTGCGATCAAAATTTAACGCGCTGTCACGAGACGTTTCTGTCGGACGCCGCACACGAGCGTGATGACCTGACAGTTTCAATGCGTTTGGTTTGTCTTTCTGCGACGTCAAGTTGGCGCGTGATCCTGTTTTCCAGCGATGTCAACATTGCTCGAATTGTAGCCTCGATCGTAGCTTCTTTCTGTGGACGTTCTTTCAGAATAAAAATCGAGAATGCGCTGCTCACTGAGTTACGGCACAACGGCAAGGTTATTCTCCCAACCGGTTATAGGAAAGACGACCTGGAGCGAAGCGCAGGCATGTCGTTGAGTGCGGAGATTCCGTTCTCTATAGGAACCGTGCGGATCTAACTCAAGCCCCGACCAGGGCGCCCCTAGCGGCAAACGGGTCCGTTGCATCGGGCATCTTCTGCCAGTCGCTGCGTTGGTTGTGCGTTGTAGTGGGTTAGCGCTGTAATTTCTGAGATGGCTATTCCGCACCAAGAAAGCCGCAAGAATTGCTGCGTGGTCGGCAAGATCGCGGACGGCACGAAGTACTACATCGTCCCTTCGAAGCTCTACGAGGCGAAGTACTGCGCGACCTGGGTACGACTTGTGCGTCCATACAGGTTAGTGGTGTTTCTTACCTTCCAGTTCGCGCTTTGTTTAAGCTGCTGACGAATAATACAATTAACTTTTTTATTCTTCTAGCGACGATGGAACAGCATCGACACCGGCGGCAAACTCTAAAGTATGCAGCAAATACTTCACCGGAATCGAGAAGCGGAATGCGGTCGCCCTCCTAAGCCTACCGTTGGATGTTTCCATCAGCCTAAAGGAAGCACAGGAAGATAGTAAAGAGAATCGCGGAACGGCGCGAAAAAAAATCGCCCAGTTATTGTCAAGCTGATTCAGAAATAAACGTACATAATTACCGCAGTCCACTCAACGCCAACAAAACATTTTTGCGGGCGCGCTTAATTTTGTTTGCAGAGTACGGCGCTCCGTGACATCCACTTGTCCGTTGAAACGGACTTCCTTCCCGTCGCACACGCGGCCAGATTCATGAAACAGTTTTCTCTTCGTCATATTGGCACCACGAAAGAAGCTTTCTGGATTCGTAACCGCCTTAAACCCCGTCGTAGTCACCCCGGGAACACTGTCTGCTGTGCTGCTATATCACCACTGCTCCCCCCCGATGATTCTGCACCGGCTACCGAAGAAGCTTTCCGGATTCTTAGTCGCCCACTGTCCTGTGTGCTGTTCGTTGCTATTACTTCGCGATGATTCTGAGCCGGCGGCACCGGCTTCAGAAGGAACTTTCCGAACTCATAGCTGCCTTAAATTCCGTCGTAATCACGACGGGGACACTGTCCGCCGTGCTGTTCGTCGCCATTGCTGCCCGATGTTCCTGCGGCGGCTACCGCGGCACCGCCAGGTCGCGGCGAACAATAGGCGACCGCCGCGACACGGCCGGCTTGCTCGCTTCCTATGCCTTCCTTTCTCATGGCGGCTTTGGATTTTGGATTGGATTTGGGGCTAACCCCTTTGTATCGGGGGATCTCAGGAGCGCTGGATCTAGCCTGGCTAGTAGCTACACTAGCCAAAAACTTAGTTGTGTTCTTTTGCTCTCCTCCACCAACACTCCAGTCTCCTCTTTGTCACCTCCACTGGCTGCGAGCTATCGGCGTCGTACTGTTCGTCAACGCCCCGAAACCCAGCGCCACCGCCATGTCTGGTTCGTACGTCACGTCCGGCTTTATACCCGTGCATTCCAGTATGACGTGTTCCGCCGTCTCGTCTGCTCCCTGCGCGCACATGACGCACTTCACTTCCATGTCCATGTACTTCGCGCGGAACACGCGGGTCCGCAGCATGCCGCCTCGGGCGTCCGAAAGCAGTGCACTGCCCTTGCTGTTGTCCATGAAAGGTATTCGCTTCACCTCCTGTTTCTCTCTGGCATACAGGGCCAGCGCTGGTTTCAGACGTGCCACTTCCGCCCATCGCCGCGTCTCGCTCTCGATCACCCTCGTGCGGATGCTCTGCTGCAGTTCCGGCTGCTCCGCGGCTAGGTAGAGGAGTGGGCCGTTGACCTCGTATCGCTGTGCCAGCTGGCGCGTCCGTCGCACCCACCGGGTTGGGACGGACCGAAGATGTACATACTTGAAAACCTGTCTGGCCCAGCGCTCTTCGCTCATCCGGCTGAGGCGTCGCTCGAAGTCCAGCTTGGCTCGGGCCTCCCTGGCCTCAAAACCGGACCAGCCCATGTCTCCTTGGACGGCTTCGTTCGGTGCTGTTCGGCTTGCTCCCAGTGCCGACCTTCCCACCTCCCTCTGACGGACCTCGAGGTATTGCCTGGTACCTGATGACAGGCACAACACTGAGTTGCCAAAAGTGAGCCCCGGCACTGCCACCATCTTCCAGACCGCTCGGGTTACCTCGTATCGGTTATATCCCCAGAGGGCCCTGGCCGTTGCTATGCCCTTGTTCTTCCTGCTCTTCGCCTTGACCTTCGTCTCGTGCTCTAGGAGGTAGTGGTGTCCCTTCTGTAGGTTTACACCCAGATATTTGTAGTGGTCCACCCCAGGTACAGGATTGGCTTGAATGGACAGGTTGGCGGTCCCGTTTTCCTCTGCTGCCCCAAAGGCCATCAGCCCAGATTTGTGCGAACTGAAGCTAAGCCCCAGGGCCTCTCCCATTGCACCACACTCGTTCATGAGCCCCTGCAGGCCCTGCAGCGAGTCCGCCATCAGCACCACATCGTCGGCGTAGATGAGTCCCGGGAGTTTTCCTCCCTTCCTTTCCCCGCCTTCCGAATATTCCAGTGAGAAACCCTCCCCACTCTCCTGCAGCCGCTTTTCGATTCCTGCTATGTACAGCATAAACAATAGCGGCGACAGCGGGCAGCCCTGTCTCAAGCCCTTGGAGCAGGTCACTGGATGTGTTGTCTCCTGCTGCCACTGTGCCACCACCGTCGTCCCTCTGTACACTTCTCGCAAGAGGTCTATCCACTCTCTGCAGAGTCCCCGCTCTGCCAGCTGCGTCCACAGTTTTCGATGTTCGACCATGTCGTAAGCCTTGCTGATATCGAGAAAACAGAGGTAAAGGGGGCGGTTCTCCTTCTGGGCAATCTCGATGGCCTGCGTCAGCACGAATAAATTGTCCTCAAGGCGTCTCCCCCACCGGAACCCATTCTGCAGCTCCCCCAGGACTCCTTCTGCCTCTGCCCATGTCTGCAGTCGGTCTCGTATTATTTGTGTGAACACGCGGTAGAGTACCGATGTGATGGCTATGGGGCGGTAGTTTCCGAGCGTTGACTTTTGCCCTTTTCCCTTGTAGATGAGTCTGAGTCTTGAGGTTCGCCACTCCTCCGGCACCCATCCCTCCTTCAGGATCTGGTTGAGGATCTCGCGCAGCAGTGCTCTCGTCTCTGGCCCCAGCTCCTTCACCAGCCTCATTGGGATTTCGTCCATTCCAGTGGCTGTGGTTCCTCCTATCCTCTTGACTGCCCTCTCCGTGATTTCCTCTCTGCTCGGTTGCTCCCGCAGTTCGTCCTCCGTCTCCCCCTCCTCACTGTCCATTTGTCGGCTGTCCCCTGTGAACATGTCCCCTATCCACCTCTCAATGTACCGGTTGGTCTCTCCAGGGTCCAGTTCCTTTCCCGTTGCATCGTCTTTGATTACAGCATCCTCCCTGGGTCGACCTGTTTGGCCCTGTACATGTCGCCAGAACTTCAGTGGGGCCTCACGTCCTTCCTCTCTCAGTTCTTCCAAAAATCTCTTATCTACCTTGGCCATTTTGATTTGAATAAAAGCTGTCACCTCTATTTTCCTGCTCTGGTACTCCCTCCATTCTCTTGAATCTTTCTGTAGGGGGGCTTTCTTCTCCTCCTTTCGTTTTCTGATGGTCCCTCGCAGAGTCCTGTTTGCCAGTTGCCTTCTTGTAATGGCCTCCTTCACCTCCACATCCCACCATCGTTTTCTCCTCCTCTTCCCTCGTGTCGGTCGTTTCAGTTTTTCCAGGTGGTCCTTCCACCACCGCATGAGGTTCCCGTACGTCTCCACCTGCCTGGTTTCCACCTCTTCCTCCAGTTTCTGCGCAATGGTTTGTGCTTCTGCTTACATTATGTGGTGTGGTCTCATAGGTTCGCTGACTCTCTTTTCCGTCGGCTTTCCTCCGAAAGTGATCAGCAATCTGTTGTGATCACTTCCCAAGCTCTTGTCGCCTTCCTCGTCTATCTCCATGTAGTTCAGTTTTTCATACAGGTCTGGGGACACCAGGCAATAATCGATTGTAGAGCTCATCCCTCTGGCCGTCCATGTCGTCTTTCCTATGCATTTATCTTGTGTGTTGACGATTACCATATCCAGGTGTTCCGCCATGTCCTGCAGCAGCTTTCCATTACCGTCTGTTCTCCCATCAAACTCCTCTAGGTGTGCCTTGAAATCGCCTACCATAATGGTAGGTCTCCCAAAGTTGTGATAGTCTTTTTCAATGCACTTGATTAGCTTGATGTTTGTCTCCCTGCTGTCTGCCCCCGTCCACAGGTACACCACTGCCACTGCCACCTTTCTCCCCGCCTGTGTCCCCGTCAACCACATGTGCTCTCTGCACTCTGGACTTTCTCTCTGCCAGCCTGGCCCGCTAAAGCATCCTACCCCCCCCCCCCCTCCCCTTCTCTCACTGTCCTTTCTGTTTACCCCATCCCAAAAGAGCCCTTCGCAATCCGGGGGTCTTTCTTCATCCCTGAGGTGGGTTTCTGTGACTGCGAACATTCCAATCTTATCATCTTGTAACATCTGAAAGGCCTCTTCCCATTTTCCTGCTTTCCTTCCTCCCTGTAGGTTTAAAAAGGCAATCTTCACTTCCCTCTTTTTCTTTTTTGCTCGTCTGTTTTTCCTTCTTTCCCGGTCTGGTGCCTTTTTGTGTTTTCCGCCTCTCGTGTTGTTGCAGGCACCATCCCTCCTACTTTCTCTTCTTAGTGGGCATGGCCCTGTGGGGGACACATCCTCTGGAGTTGTTCCTCGAGTCGCTGTAGTCTCTGGTCCAGAGTCAGCCTGCCTTCCATTCTTTCCTGTCGCCTTTTCATCGGTGTCACGCTTTTCCCCTTGCATTTCAGTCCTAAAAAACTCTTTAGTCTGTTACCCAGTGCTTGTCCCTCTTCAATTGCCGCATCTCTATTGTAGCAGCCATCTTCCATGTCGTTTCCCGTTCCTGTGTTCTTTACCACCTCCACCCTCGGTCCCAGCTGCTGGCTGATCTCTCTTGATAGCCTGTTCCACTTGGCGCACCTCTCTTGAAGTGGGTCCCCCTTGTCTTTGATTTCTGGGACTTTATACACCATAAAAGAATGTTTCGGGGCTCTCGTGGTCCAGTCCTCAAGCCGTTTCCCTAGCTCCGCTGCCATTTCTTCCACCGATTCTTCGCCTTGCACGTCTGTCACTCCCGCATGTATGACCACCACTCCTGCCTCTGCATTCCATATTTTCCCATCCCTCTCTGCTCTCTCGAGTGACTCTCTCAGTTGTGCTCCCGGCTTAGTTGCAAAGTGAACTTTCTTGTCGTAATCTACCACCTTCAGTGTGGCTCTCTTTATCTTGAAGGCATTGGTGTCCCCTACCACTAAGACTCTCTTGTCCACTTTCTTCTCTTTGTCCTGTTTCTTTGTCCCGTCATCTGGGTCTGCTCTCTGCCTCATGAGGGCCTCCTTGTAGTTCCTGTGCTGGCTTCTTTGTGTTTGGCCTCCAGTCGTCTGTCTCCCCTGCTCCTTATCCAGATCTCCACTTCCCGCCCGTTCTTGGGAAAAGCTAACTGTCTCTTTCCCGTCTGTGTGGTATGTCTTCTTTTCTTTGACCCCGTTTCTCGGTTCCAGCTGTTGCGGCGCGTTTTCAGCCCCGTTGACCGTCATTTGCTCTGGTTCACATGACTTCATCCAGTCATTAAACACCTCCCCTAATTTTTCTCTCTTGTTCCTTTCCTTCTGCATTATTGCTTTCAGTTTCTCTTCCGTCGCTATTCTCAAGGTTTTCTCTTCTTCGAGCTTCGCCAACATCCTACTTTCTATGGCCGCTCTCTCAGTCTTTGCCTCCTCCAGCTTCACTCTCATTGCCTCTCTCAAGGCATTAACTTGCCGTTCGATCTCCTCCTCCAAGGTGATTCTTCTCACCTCATTTTCCTTGCACTCCTTACATTTGTATGTACTGTTCTCCGCCTCTGTGCATGATTCGAACGGTGTCTCGATCGCTGATATCCACCCATTTCTCACAGCCTTCGCACTCCACTGCCGCCTTGTCTCGCTTTCCCCTCTTCTTTGCCTTTTCCATTTGACTGGTTGTCATTGTTTTCCTCCGTGGAGTCATGATGTTAGGTGTCTCCCTTGCCTGGTTTCCGAGACGCCCCAGCCACCACCGCCAGATTCCGTCGTTTAGCCGTGCCCCGACACGCCATGTCGAAAAAAAACACTTGCGCCCTACACCCGGTTGGTAGGCCTAACTGGTCGTTGAGCGCTCCGGAGGAAGGGCTTCTTGATCGCCCCCACGGTAACGGCTCCGCGCCGAAACCAAGTGGTCCGCTGGTAGCGGTCTCGGTATGCCTATACACCTTCTGGAAGATATCCGTCGCACTGCCACCTTTACACTAATCGGCAAAAAAACATTTTACCCCGGCGGTTTCAAATCGCCGCCGACCACGACCACGACGACGACGACGACTTCTTGATCGCCCCCACGGTAACGGCTCCGCGCCGAAACCAAGTGGTCCGCTGGTAGTGGTCTCGGTATGCCTATACACCTTCTGGAAGATATCCGTCGCACTGCCACCTTTACACTAATCGGCAAAAAAACATTTTACCCCGGCGGTTTCAAATCGCCGCCGACCACGACCACACAACACGACCACACAACACGACACGATTGGATTGGATTGGATTGGATTGGAGTCTGCGGCTCTTCCCTTTGTATCGGGCGATCAACAGCAACGGATACTGGATCTAGCCTGTCGCGCCTCCCGCGACTTCCGCTTCCGCTTGATGTTCCGCTGACCGGTTGCATTCCCTCCGCCGATGCGTCTCCCTCCACCAGACCTCCAGCCGCCTCTTCGTCACGTCTACCGCCGATCGAACGTTCTTTTGTTCTTCCTCTCCTTGTTCTGCACCGATTCGGAAACCGAGTGCTACAGGTAGCACCTCTGTACTTGGGACCGGTACAATGTGCCGGCACTGCAGCACTAGGTGCTCCATCGTCTCGTCGGTCTGCCCGCAGAGTGTGCACGTCCTTTCCTGTCCCTCCGTGAACCTGGCCCTCCACACCCGGGTCCGTAATGTGCCCATGCGGGCCTCCGCGAGGAGTCCACTGCCTGTCGAGTTGTCATACCAGGGCTCTTTCCCTATGGCCTCCTTCTCCGCGTAGTACATCGCGAGGGACGGCTTCGCCGCCGCTCCCGCTCTCCATCTCTCCGTCTCCACTGCTCGGATGCCCTTTCTGATTGCCGCTGGGCCCTCCCGGCTCTCGCCCGCTGACTCCAGACAGATCGGTTCGAAACCATAGCGGTCCCGCAGCCTTCGGAGGCGGTGCATCCATTTGGTGCCTCTTCCCTGGTATATCATGTAGCGCAGGGTGCGGTGGGCCCAATTCCCATCCGGGAGTCTGTGCACCCTCCTCTCGTACAGTGCCTTGGCGCTGGCTTCTCTGGCCTCGAAGGACGACCAGCCCAAGTCCCCCTGGACACCCTCGTTGGGTGCTGTTCTTGAAACTGCCAAGGCCATTCTTCCCGCATCCCTCTGTCTTCTCTCCAGGAAGGCCCTTGTTTGCGATGAGAGGACGATTACGCCATTTGCGTACGTGAGTCCCGGAACGATGGCCATCTTCCATAGACCCCTCACCACCTCGAACCTGTTAAACGTCCAGGTGCTCTTCTTCGCCAGGATTCCTTTCCCCCTTATCGCTCCCAATCTCTTCTCCCGTTCATGGACCTTCAGGTAGTCGGGCTCCGCAGTCAGGGTCACTCCCAAGTATTTGACTGTGTTTTGTCTTGTCAACCTCCCTCCCTGCAGGTGCCACCGTTGTTCCTCTGGTTCCCGATTCGGTCCATCTCGGTCTCCCCAGGCTAGGACCGCACTCTTCCTCTGGTTGAAACGGAGTCTAAAATGCGTGGCGAGCTCCCCGCATATGTCCAGAAG